AGAGCCAGGGCGGGCCCCTCCTCTGCCGGCAGCCCTCCATGGCTCCCAGTGTCCTTGGGGTGAAGCCTAAATCCTCCCCAAAGACCACAATGCCCTGCACGACTCGCCTCTTCACCTCCTCTCTCTCCCCCTCTCATGCTTCTCCTTCCTAATACACGCCAGCACAGTGCCGCCCCAGGGCCTTTGCACAGCCTGTGCAATGCACCTTGGGCAACTTCCTGGATAATTCAATCATTCCTTCACTTCCTATAGGTCTTTGCTCAAATGTGACTTTTTTTGTAGTTTTTTTTCTATAGGGTATGTGCGCTCACCAGACAGAGAGACAGAGAGAGAGAGTGAGAAATTACCCCCCAGGGAGGTTGGCCATGCCGCAATCCCTTCTCCTCCATTCTTCTCTCGGGATATTGGGCACACACGCACACGCGCCCGGCGTGAATTTAAGTCACCAGGTCCAAGACTAAAACAACCGTCGCCTACATGGGAGTCCAGCGACATAGCCATTATGCCAACTGCTGGTCCCTCTTGGGGTTTCTTTTTTAATTCTCATAGCCACTAGGAGGCGCTAGAACCCTTCGCTGGACCTTGTCCCCATTTGATATCAAAACCAATCCAGCGGGGGGTCGAGCATTCTGCCCCCTGAACCTGGAGGCTTTTCCACGTGACTAGGAGGTGGAGGACTGATGGGGGAGCGCCTAGAAACTCCCTGCGACATCAAAACTTGTCGTGGTCCCCAAACCTCCTTAGTTCGCAGCTCCTCAATGTGCTCATCTGTCAAACGTTTGACGATTACTCTGACCGCACAGAATTTGCGATGGGGATCCGAGTTAACGGGGCTCTGACGGTGGAAGCAAGGCAGACGGGATAGCGCTGCAGGGCTCTGGGTTTGAATCCCATCTCCACCACTCACAAATGAGGTTAACATAGCTGCCCTGTGCCTCCATTTCTGCATCGGGAAAACGGGGTGGAGAAAATCACCTCCCTCCCTAAAAGGGGGGACGATCTGAGAATTAAATGGGTCAAGGCAGGTGGAGCAAGCAGCCCCGTCCAGGTACGAAGTAAGCGCTTGATAAACAGCACTGCTTTCGAGACTTGTTATTGTGACGAGGCTTGGCTTTTATAAACGCGGCCAGAGCGGGCTCTCTCTGGGT